GTGAGATTCCTAAGAAATAATGAATACCACTCAGTCCAGTTAAAAATAGTCTTCTGGCGAGATTAGGGATCTTCATCATTCCTGGGATCTCGACAAATGACAATGTATGTTACTGCAAGGTCTGCTATAACTGTATCTGCATTTGCCTGCCTGCCCTTGATGTGTTTGCTCTGCCTCCACCCTTAAAAGCTGACCTCCTCTTTTTCCTATGGCTGCCATCAAAGGGCGGGCTCTGTTTTGAGGCAGAGACACTGATTGGCTGGCTTAGCCGGATTGTCACCATTTCACAGTGACCATCTGACCCCCCCACCCCCCACAACGCATCCTATGGTGTCACTGGTTGAAACATGCCGGCTAGGTTTGAGTTCCTGGTTCTGCACACTTCCATGACCATTTTGAGAGGTTCTCTCTTCCTATTGGATTTTTGCGTTCTGGAGAATTCAGCAGAAAGAGCCACGAGGAGCCAAACATGGGTGCTGACACCTAAAAACACAAACTTGGAAAGAACAGGGCCTGCAGCTGTTACAGGGAATCTGATTGCTGGGGTTCCTATGAAATAGAAGAATCCAGTGGGTGACGCGGCCCACCTGGCTTCACCCATTATAGTCGGACTCTTTAAACTCTAACGGCTGTTTAATTGTGTTATCATTTCTCTGTTTTATTTGACTCCTAGATCTGGTAAATCATGAAAAATTTGAGGCTTATTTCTCCACCATGAACATTTCGGAGGGCATCTGTCTTCTCACCACGTACGCCCAGATGGCACAGACCAAGCAGCACGATGTAGATGAGGAGCTGGTCAAGACCATTGCTTTGGAGATCTATGAAGTATGTCATTGCAATGTGTTTTTTTTTACTCTTCTAGTATAAGTGAATCTAACTTTGTCATCAGCTTCCGGAAAATTCCTTCACAGGGGCAGATGGGGAGGAAGGGGCAGTACTACTAGTCAGTCTGGGCTGTGTTGCTTTGCCTGATGTAGTACTATGAAGATGCTTGCATGCGTGGCATCAGATAACGTCACTGGTCTGCTTTTGCTCCTTTGTTGATCAATCAGGAGTTTGGATGAGAAGGGATCGCTGAAAAGGCAGAACTGTGGTAGCCTTTTTTTTTATTCCTAAAGAAAATATCTGGTGCTGCCTGGTATGGAGGAGCCAATGGGGCTTGATGATTGGCACAGCACTGTTACATGGGGGCAGGGAGGGAATCTTCAGCTCCAAATGGAGTGCCTCAAACCTTGAAAGGTGAGCATGTGCTACTGGTTATGGTAGCATTAAAGCATGCATGGGAATAGCTCAGCTTCCCCTCTTACTTAAAGGATAAGTACACTTTAAAACAAAGTGCACTTGTTCTTTTTGACTCCTTTCCTTTCTTGACCTAACCTATTCCAACCGCGCCTTCTGCAAATGCACATTTACCTTGTTTTGGCGTCTGCAGCTTACTGTGTTTGTTTACATTCAGTTCCACAAGTCTTCTGTGCACTGGAGCTACCTGTGCAGTAGCTCCCTATCTATGGGGCCGTCGTCCAAGCATTCCCGGCCTTGGAACACAGCTCCATAGAAGATTACATGGAGCTTCTGTGCATGCAAAACCAGCTCACAAAAGACTTTCAAAACAGGATGTAAACAAACAGGAAGCCGCAGTTGCCAGATGTAGGTAATTCTACATCTGTGGAAGGGGAGGGTGGGATCGTTTAGGTCAGCAGTGGGGACTAAAAAGAATAAGTGCACTTTTACTTTGTTTTCTACAGTTGTTACTGTAGTGAGAAGGGAGCACATTTAAAAAAATGGACCTTGCAGGGGATTCACTTTAAGCACAATTGCAATGATTGCAGGATGGTATAGCTCACAGACTGGTTTCACTTGTTGCCTGGAATGCTCTTTATCATTTCATTATAGATCTGATATAAAACAAAGTCTGGAGATCATCTCTCATAATTCTCGTCATCTTCCCAGGTGTCCTACGTCAGTCTGTCCACGAGAGAGGCTTATTCTAAAGTGGGACGTGAGCTTCTAGCTTCAATTACTGCTGCACACAGCGACGTCATATCTATTATCCTGGAACGTGTTCGAGAGACCATCGATAAAGTGGGAATGGTGGGATTCTTTCATTTTATATTGTTTTATAAATTCATGTCGATTAATGCCAAAATGTTGGTTCCATGTCTGTAATGATGACCCAGTGGCTTCAGGACTTTCTAAGGCATTGACCCAGATTTCACTCTGACTTTAAAGACCTTACAAGTGCAAACAAATACCTGTTGATCTTCCAGAAATGCACTCAGCAATTAAGTCATGTTGTGCACAGAAAATGTTTGGTATCAGCCCTGTCCAGTTCTCCTTTGCTACACTACCTAAAATGCCCCTTTCTTCGCAACATGGACGGTAATCATGGACCGAGGAATTGTGCACAGGACACAGGACAGCTCTGAATTCCAGACATCATTTTGCACATGCCAAACATGTAACGCAACATTTTTAATTGCATATTAAAGGTCCCACTCGCACGACTGGGTGAGTCTTACAAATTGCTCTGTGAGACTCATGTGGCCATCTGCAGGAAGCGCTAATAGTGCACACAGCAGTTCACGGCCATTCGCATGTAATTGGACATGTGATTACTTGCAGATGATCACTCCTAGACGCAAACTGCTTCCAGGGGCGATCATTGGCAGGTAATCGCAGCATGTCTAGCTACTTGCAAACTGCTGCATGCACTTTCAGCTCTAACAGCTTTGACTAGTGCTTCCCGCAGCTCGCATGAGTCTCACTGAGCCTGACCCTATTGGCCCCATTCGCAAGTGTGACTGAGGCCTAACAGATCGAAAGGGAACAAATAAGAGTTTATTGTTGGGGTCGACATACAATGGCATTCTCTGAATTTGTCTCAGTACAGGTTTCTGAAATGGTTTCTAAAATGTTTCTTGCGTTGCTATTCCTCTTCTTAGGTTGCACTGTACTTATTTAAAGAATTACCCTTACACCGCTGGAAGCCGAGCGCAATAGAAATCGGCGTCATCAGGGATTGGCTGCTCAACTACAACCTCTCTGAGGTGGAGAACAAACTGGCTTGTATCATCCTGGAGGGGCTCAACTGGGGCACCAACGGCTCGGTATGGAGACAGTAGCCAATACAGCAATACCTATTTGATAGGAGTATTTACACTTAACTTCTGCCATGTGATTAACAAAATGATGCCCTACCCCCCAAACTTCCACATTTGAGGGGTGGTGCACGGTTTGGAGGCAGTATGTTTTTTTTTTTTTATCATATTGCTGCAGTTTCACTTTCTAAATTCTAAAATGTGTGTTCCAACAAAACAATGGTCCAAAATCATTATATTAGTGCATGTCAGGTGGGGTTATGATGTCTGATGTCTTGTTTCTCACACAGAAGACATTGCACTTGGATCACTCTGTACATATCGAGGTGGCCCTGATGGTTCTGGAGGCTTATCAGAAGTATATCTCGGACAAACCGTACACGGGGATCATCTCAGAGAGTATTAAACAGGTCAGTTCATCCAAATAAAGAATTTCTCTCTCTGGTTATCTCTGGATATGTCTTCTGCCCGGAGCATAACCGTCATATATTATCTTTGGACATCTAGAAATCTTATGGAGCCAGAACTTTTTTTTTTTTTTAGGGCTTTGGACGGAGTAGGAAAGGGTTTGATCCCCTATCAGAGTTTATTTGCTGTCTGTGTCCCATCTGGGGTGATTGATTTAAAGATTGGTATGTTGCACACCTCAATAAGGCCTCATTCACACATGCATGTTGCTCTGTACATTCTGAAGGGCTGATTGTTGATGTGCCCAGCGCTGTGGAAAGCAGTGCGCGGGCAGCTCATGTAACTGTGTGGACACGCAGGAGCTGTGTGCCCTAACACACTGCTTTGTGCAGTCCCAAGTTTTGACAACTGCCCACAGACAGTGTACGGACCTGAATGCATCCTGTCTGCATGCAAGGCCGTACACCGTCTTTGTGCGGCTCTCCAAACTTGCAGTTGCAGGAAGCAGTGTGTGAGAGCACAGAGTTCCTGTGTCTCCATAGAGTTATATGAGCTGCCTGCACGCTTCTCCCCATAGCTCCTGCCACATCAACAACTGGCCCTTCACGCTGTACGGAGCAACGCGCTTTCAGGCTTACCAGCATAAGAATACAAAAGCGACTTAGTCAGGCAGAAGACCAGTAAAGAAAGGAGGCCCAGGAGCCCAACTTTCTGGGGTAGTGAATTCCTTTCTCAAGGTGGGCCTTGGCTCCCAGCTGGGGTGATTTACCTTCTCAATGTGTCCTGGTGACCACTGTCATGGCTGGTGACCACTGTTACTGCTCACTTTGGGAACATTTCTGTTCTCTCACTTCCTGTTGTGTTTCTGGGACAGAACATGAAGGAAAATTTCCCCAATGGGATACAAATAACCTTATTGAGGTCCAAAGCATTCTCCACTCTAACAATGCAGTAAGAGTTTTGGCTAGACATGCATTTTAGTCTGTAAACCAGCGACCATGACTTTTGGCCAATTCCTGCTGAATGGACCAAAATTCAAGCCGTGGGTGGCCCTTTAAGCACCACCCACCCCCCATTTCTAAATCAGGTGGAAAGTTATCAGCCAGACAGTGACTGCTTCCTATCAGTTGTACTCGCTGTTCGGGTTTTCAGGCAGCTGCGGGTGTTCAATATAATTCAATAGTGCAGATTCCTCCATCTAAGGGTATGACTAGCCTTAGGTGTGATGGGCTCAGCTCAAGCAAGTGACCTCAGTCTTCCACAACTTCTTTTCTTACAGCTGCTGGTATCATGTATGTAAGGAGGAGGTGAGGTTTCATGTGGGGGTGGTAGGGGAGAGGTGTCATAATATTAGGCTATCAAAATATATGAAATATTTTATTAATAAAAAAGAAGGTGCCTGCGTTCCCCAGTTAGTTTTGAATGATAAGGGCAGCCATGTTGATCCACTCACTGAATGCTTTCTATTAGGTTTCTTACCTGGCCAGCATTGTCCGGACAGGACAGACCCCGGAAGCCTCCTTCAACCAGTGGGCTTGGGATTTGGTCTTAAGGCTGAAGTTACACAGGAATGACCGACCCGGGCAGCTGTGCGATGCTGTGCCGGATCTGACAGAAGCCAACGTACTACACCCCGTACTGAAGGCCGTTAAATCCAGCGTGCCAATTGGTTGTTACATTGCTCTGGCAGCGGCCTCTGTTGGACACACGTGAGTTAGCTTTGCATGGTGTTTTGGCTGATGTCTTCTCCATGTTGTGTTTTTTCGATTTCCAGACCCTGCCATGGAAAACTAAACTCCTGACACTAGAGGTGCACCGAAATGGAAATTTCAAAACCGAAACAAAACCGAAATTAAAAAAATTGTCAGGTCGAAACCAAAAATGTTTTTATTTAAATTTTTTTTCAAATTTTTCAAATATTTTATTTTTATGTATTTTTTATGAACTTTTTATATTTTTTACTTTTAGGGGCTTTGGGGAAATATTGAGGGTCTAAACAGACCCCTGATATTTCCCTTTTAAAATAGAAAAAGAGATTGAGGGCACAGAGTCCTCAATCTCTTTTTCTGCAGCCCCTGATATAAATAACCAGGAATCCTCTATACTGAGTGTTCCTGTTCACTCATAACGTGAGGACAGAGTATGTTTACTATAACCACAATCATGAATGGATAGGAGGTGATGTAGATCACTTCCCATTCATTCATAATTGAGGATATTGTAACCATACTCTGTCCTCAATTATGTACAAACACTCAGCGATCACTGATCAGAGAGTACCCGCTCTCCTTCCTGACAGCTGTCACAGGAGGCTGAGCGAGCAGTGAGGGAGGAGAGCTCAGCCTCCGGTGATAGCGTTGGCTGTCTCCACCCACACACCGCTCTGCCGGACTGTGATAGGAGGCTGAGCGGTGTGGGAGGAGAGACGCCGGCCTCTGGCAGCTCTCTCCTCCCGCAGCGCTCTGCCGGCTGTCACAGTTTCTCTCCCCCCCCGCTGGGACACAGAGCAGCGCCCAGCGGGGAGAAAAGAAAGCAGGGATGCGCCGATGTATCGGCAGAAAAATGGCACTTTCGGCATTTGGCCAAAAGGGCAATTTTCGGCCGATATATCGGTGCGTCCCTACCTGACACGTTTCATGTCTGTGGAGGACAAGTCACATCGATTCAACTTATATATGGACCAATATAACATAATTTACTGTAAAGGGAGCTCATGGAAGAGACTGAATGTTCAGTCTTAAAGGTCCTATTAGCACCAACGGTATCCATTGTGGTACATTTATGCTCGCATGTGAACTCGGGACTGGTTACTACTTTTTACATACACTTCCTGATCCATACACATAGGAAATGTGCAATTTATTATAAAGCAACCACATTTTTATGCAATTTACCTTGATGACGTCATCTCTTTCAGTTAGCAATGGCAGCTACGTCCGGGCACCTGAAGGCGGTATTTGTGCCGTGCCGATGCTACTTCTGGTCTTTGTGCAGGACCACAAGAACGCATTACAATTCCCATCATCCAATGGGAATTGTAGCCAACAATGGGTGTAATATGGGCGGGATTTTGTGCAGTAGTTTGGCCAGACCTTAGTAATGGTGGTAGGACAGACCAGGAGTCTTGTGGCCTGTGAATCAAACAATGCTGTTACTAAACCAGTAAGAATGGGGGTTTGAGCTGCCCAGGTCCTCCCACTACAAGGAACTACACAGGGGATGCTACAAGACCGGCGGCCCGGGAAGGAGTGAGCAATAGTGGCCACAGTCTTACAAAACAGAAATGATAGGAAAATGAGCCCATATTCTGCTGGATTCACGTTGGGGTTTATCAGTTGGTGGATGACTGCCATAAAAAGCAATAACATATTGCCTAAAGGTAAGAATGACCTTTCCAAAAGGTTCTGCCCAGAGTTCAGCTTTAAGGCAGCACGTTCATTTAACGAGGTGCCTAACACACCACAATGGACCAAAAATAGGAACGGCTGCAAGGCATAGTAGTAGTATGGTACCACACGTTGCCGGGAGTTGTGAAGGTGCCTTGGGGTGCAGTGCATCTTGCAGGTAACGGGCATTACTTCAGAACAGTGGTGTAAATGGGCCTCATTTTTTTTATCATTGCTCAGGTTTATTGATGAAAGATTTATTTATATATATATAAAATAAGACCTACCCCGAAAATAAGACCTAGTACTATTTTTGGGAATTGCTAAAATATAAGACCTACCCCCGAAAATAAGACCTAGTTGTGACTATTCCCAGGTCCGGTGGTGGCATAAGGGGGAACTTGAAGAGCCGCGGGAGAGGCAGGAGAGAATCAGCGGTGCCAACTAAGCCAGCGCTAGAGGAAGCGAGCTGGCACCGGAGGGAGCAGAGCCGCATAAGCCGATGCTTCCTCTGTAGCGCCTGCTCCTGTCACAGGCGGAGTGATACCAAATGCACTCCGCCTGTGAGGAATCCATAGTGAAAGTGCTCTTCGCTCATTCTAGCCAGCGAATTGCTCTTGGAAGGGTACGGCACCCCTGATTGCCCTGATGACTATCTTTTTAGAGTTAGACTCTTCAGGATAAGAAGTCAGACATGAAGTTATGGTTTTCCTCTGTGTGTCTATGGTCCTATCTAGGTTTTGGTTTCCATCTTGTTTGACATGTTTTTGTCTCCACAGTGTGGACAAGTTCTGTGCGGAAGGCGTAATGATGCTGGGAGATCTCGTACAAGCAAGACATCTCCGTGCCGTGGTCCACATTCTGGATAAACTCCTGCCCATGTTTTATCCTTGTCCCAGCTATCTCCTGAAAAATGAGCTGTAAGTCCTCTATGCTAAACAATAAAGGGTTTAATGGACTTGTAGCACTATGTATGATTACATGCGGACTGGTGCTAACAGATGTGGCTGCTGTCACCTTGTCATTCACATGAAGGGGTACAGTTACCGCATCTCAACTTGGTCACCTGGCATTCCTGCCCGAGTCCTTAGGTTCTTGCCACTGGAACACCAGAATGCCCGGTGTGAATGGGGCCTCATGGTGGACCCACCTGTCTGCTAACCTTTTCCATTGATGACAGATCAAAGCTGCTCTGCATTGCTTCGTCCGCTCTCATCTTCTTCTTCACTGGTTCTTCTGGGTTCCTATCACTCTTCTTTGGCCATCGAGCTGCCATCATCTTCTCATCATCTTAGTGATACTGCGAGTGAGCTGGAAGCATACACTGGACATTTTTTTTAACCCCTTCATGACTGAGGCCTTTTTTTCATTTTTTGCACCCATGTTATATTCCACATTTTAGGCCTGAAAATGACTTAAAACCCCCAAACATTATATATTTTCTGAATGCCAAGACCCTATAGAATAAAATGGTGGTAGTTGCACATTTTTATAAAAAAAAATAACTTAAAGAAACCCCCTTTCAAACAGCTTAATACTTACCTGTGTCGTCCCTGCGCGCTCCCGTCCGAAAATCTAAAAAAAATTCTTGGGTGGCCGGTAAAGGATCTTGGGGTGGGCGCATGCGCAGTTCAGATTTTCGGCCGGGAGACGAGGAGAGACACAAGGTAAGTCTATGGATGCGTGCGGGTGCAGACACCGTGGGACAGGAAGTGCCAGCAAGCACAGAGGAGTCACCGCTGGATCAGAGAGCCGCCGCACCGCTGGAGGGACAAATGAAAACGACAGGAAAGAAGAAGATCGGATTAAGAGACATCATTTAAGGTAAGTGCTGACACTAACAGTGGGGGGAGGGAAAAAATATACACTTTAATGTCACTTTAAGTGGAAATTTCTATGCTCCTCAGCACCATCTAGTAACTCTGGGTATAATACAGCAGACAGAGTAGGGCCTACAGCAGAGTAGGGCCTCCAATATAGCATGCTTTTTTTCTTTTCATGTGATGCACTGATCATCTCCTGGTGCAAAAGCAGTGCTCTGCTCTCCACATTAATATACTGTGAATGAAGGCCACCATGGGGACAGCAGTACTCACAGTATCTCCTCAGTCTTTGGGTTTGAGTGACACTAGGTGTCAATCAATCTGGAAGACTGAGGACATCTTGTGGCAAAAAAGAAGTACTGCCGATACAGCTCCGGACTATAGGTAAGTATTGCAGCCTGAGCTTCTTCTGTTATGTTTAACACCCTTTTGAGGTCTGTTTCAAGTTTAAAACATTTGGCCTGATTTGCCTTAAACAATGTCTTCGTGTATGGCGGTTATAGACTCATTTCCCTCTGATGGAAGGCTCAGCTGTATTGTTGTTACAGATGTGATAATGGTGGTTCTGAGGTCTATACAGTTCTTCTCTCTGAGTTTTTTTCTCATCCGTTCCTCTCTTGTTCAGGTTTTTGTCCTTTATACAGCTCTTCCTGCAGCTGGACAGCGGAGTTCCTCAGGGGATGACTATGCAGATGACTCACAAGGTCACCCAGCACCTGACTACCATCAACTATGGGGAGAATGTGAAGCTGCTCACCAACATGATCCAGGTGAGGAGGAGATGGGAAGGAAAGAGGAGAGGATGGGCTGCCCCGAGGATGGAAGGACCTCACCCAGTGAAATGATCTAGGCCAAAACTGGGCAGAAATAGTCATTTGTTTAGCGGCAAACAGCCAAATACACGGATGCAATTCATATATAGGATTTGTTTTACCTGCCGATGGGTTGGTATTTCTGTCCATCTAGTTTTAAGATGTATACAGTCCTGCCACGCAGCGCACAGCCTCTGTTTCTCTGCTGCTAACTTAAGTAACATTTACAGGTCTTGTCCCTCCCCCAACCTGTGACTGGACAGTGAAAGAAGAAGTAGCACAGCAATGCGCTCACCTCTCTATCAGTCCGCTCTTTCCTCCTATCAGCATGTCTATTGTTAGTACATATGGACTGCAGCGCATCCGATTGCCTCCTTCTGCTGCTTTTTTCTTTCCTAGTCTGGGCTCTGCTGTACAGATTTCATGCAGGTGTGTTTTAAGTTGCTCATCGTATTTTAGTTTTGCTCTAACCATTTGGGCTGTAGCGGCGTGTAGACTGCCACATATGGTGGCTATCATTTATGGAACTCTCCTCTGTTATAAGAATGTATTGATGTGATAATCTGCGGTAGGATGTAGGAGGTGATATGTCCCAACACCTGCATCTGCAGAGGCAATGGAACAGTCTAGAGAAGGAGCAGCACAGGCTTGGAAAACAATGACAATTCCTCTTTTTTTCCCCTCCATAGTCCCATATTGCGGCGAGCACTAATCCCAACGAAGTGGGCCCCGTGGCGGTGCTGGAGTTCTGGACTCAGGTTCTTATAAGCCAGCAGCTGTGGCACAGAGATAAAAGCAGCCTTCACCTCATGGACCAGCTGTGTAAAGTGGCATTCAGATACATGGAGGAGGACTGCGTGCAGAAGCTGCTCTACCAACAGCACAAGGTAACATGGGGTACCTACCGGGCACCGTCCATCATAGAAGACCCTTTTACTTCCAACCAATCAGATGCTTCCTTTCATACTTCCAGGGTTGACATGAAATGGGAGTGTGTGACTGGCTGTCACATGGAGTTCTCTCTTATATCTGGGGATATAGAAGTGACTGACTTGCTTCTCATAATTCTTTGCTCTCTTTTTATAGGATGCTCTGGGATATCACTGTGACCGCGGCATTCTCTCCTCCTTCGTCGGCTGGATTGTGGCCGGCAACGTGACTCCTTCTTTTATTGACTCCAACTACAACCCTTCTCAGGTACTAAGGGGAACATGGCCTATGATAAATATTGTTTCCAGCCCTTTTATGAAGTTACTCTGGGCAGTTTCTGTCTTCATTTTCATCATCAATTTGGGATCACCAAAATCATTTCTTTGGCAGACTATAAAACTTTTTAGACTTTTTTTTTATTATTATTATTAATTATTAGTTGGTCGCGGCATGCCTTCCACTTTTCTAGGTGAGCGGCTCCTCAGCCTCCCCCTAGTGCAGCACTGTCAGTTCTTGCGCCGAGCAGCCATTCACAATATGCTGCCCGGCGCTGAGTGTCAGCTTGGGGTGGGCTGGGGCTATGGCCACGAGGGAGCTCCATCCATGCGTGCATTGCTTACAGCTCCCTCACGTGTCCTATAGAGGTGCCTGGACCAGAGTGATGTCACATTCTGGCTCCCGACACCTCTACAGGGCATGCAAGGGAGTTGTACAAGCAATGCATATATGGATGGAGCTCCTTCACAGCACAGCAGTCCTCACTGGACCCCAGGTTGAGGATCCACTCAAGTTCTTGTCAGGGAGGGAGACTGGGTGGACCTTAAAAACTTTTTAGGGAGTGTGTATGTGTGTGTGTGTGAGATTGTCTGTCTGTGGTTGAGTGCATCTGTCAGTGTTTTTGAGGGCCCGTTCACACTAATACAGTGCGTTGATCGCACAGTCCCATGCAATTAACGCACTGTACCACGCAATCGCACATACCGTGCATTCTGGTGTAGGAGGTTTTTTGCGTTGATGTTCAATTGAATGATACCCCAAACTCACCTCCCACCCTCAGTTCGTAGGCCCGCACCGGAATGCGCAGTACCCTAATGTCGTGCGTTCCATTGCGGTACAACTTGGGTCCCGTCTTAATGACTGAGGACAAATGTGGGTCCTGAGGTTACACAGGTTGAGAACCACTGGACTGGGGAATGGGTAAAACCCCTGTCCGCTTTTTTTGTGCCATCCTGTGTCCCATTAGGGAGATTTCTCTTCACTTCCTGTCCAGTAGACACTAGAGGAAGTGGGAGGAAATCTTTCCAAAGTGAGAGATACTCCCTGTTAGACGGTTGTCACCGGAAAATAAGTGTCCCATTGGAAGATTTTGCCTCTATTCTTCTTCTGCTGATCGTTCAAAATGTTGGATGTTAACATCACTTGCCGTCGTATTAACAGTCACCAGGACGAATAGGGAGGACGAATGCCCCGGGTGGGGACCCAGACAGTGAGAGAAACCTAAATTAAAGAAATAGCTAGCACTTTTTAAACACTATGTGGTGTAAACAATTTCCAGAGACATTTTTTTGTGAAACTGTGAATGTTCAGTATGTGTGAATGCAGGCAAAAATTTACTTTCTTAGTATATTTTCTTTCCAGATGAAATGTAATATCAGGAAAATACTGTATTATGGCCATTCGATGGAGCTAAGGAGCATATCAAATAAGTATTTATTTCTCCTCAGCTGCATCCAGTGGCCAAAATACAGTATTTTCCTGACATTACATTTAATTTGACAAGAAATACAGTATGGAAAACACAAAAAGGATAAAGCGCACTCCTGTGGGCAAACTTCAATTCGGTGGCTGTTGTGTGTAGGTGTGCAAAGCTCCTCACTACAGGGAGAGGACCCAGTCTATTCACAACTACAGATAAAAACAAAAAGGACAGGAGCGCAACTACCAAAAGTGACGTGAATGGATTTGATTTGGCCCAGTGGATCTATGTAATAAGGATTGTTGGTGGATCTTTGTGTGTGGAATCTGGGTGTGTATGGCAATGTTATAGCAAACAGAAGGACTTACGGTTAGAAGCTCCCCCGTGGTCCGTGTGGCGCCCTCCTTTGACAGATCCTGGGTCGAAGTGCCCCGGTGGTGTCCCCGGTGGTATGAGAGGCTGATCCGTTGGGGGTGCGCATCCGTATGGCCGCCCACGTTCTCGGCTGGCCGGGCCGAGCCGCGTCGGTCAGGAACGGAGAAAAAATGGGGAGGAGTCCTTCTGTTTGCTATAACATTGCCATATATACCCAGATTCCACACACAAAGATCCACCAACAATCCTTATTACATAGATCCACTAGGCCAAATCAAATCCATTCACGTCACTTTTGGTATTTGCGCTCCTGTCCTTTTTGTTTTTATCTGTAGTTAAGAAATACAGTATACCACTAACTAGGGGTGCACCAATACTATCTATCAATGCTATCGGTGCCGATGCCGAGTATTTGGGCGATTACTCGTACTCGCCCAAATGCTCCTATGCCTAACCCGATACTTCCGGTATCAGAAAGCCAGGCAGCAAATCATTACAAGCTGCCCGACTTCCTGATTGGCCAGGAAGCGGCTCCATGCTCCTCTCGTCACTTGTGACATTTTTCATTTTAACCAATTTTATTTTTTGCTTGTTTTTGCTAGTCTGTGAACCTTTTTTTGCTTTTTTTTTTTTTTACTCCTTTACTTTAAGGTCATCTCTGCATTTTTATTATTTTTTGTGATTTGGAGAAGAGGGTCGCAGTTGATCAGGGCACAGTACAACAAGACAGAAATCAGTTAATTTTGATCTTTATTATCAGGCTTTCGTCTTTTTTTTGTGTATACTCTGACAGTCAGTTGAACCCTTCTGTAACTGGAGCGTTTCTAATACTTTTATGCAATCGATTGTCCTTTCAGATCTGGTTCTCATGGACTGTGCTGAACACGGAGTCTTTGTTTGAAGAGGATTCTCAGCTGCGGCGGGTTGTGGAATACGAGTTACTCAGCAATCCTTCTATATCTCCAGATCAGGCTCTTAAGGTATCTCCTTCGGAATCTAAAGAACACCCTGGAGCCCATTAAATCCAGGCTGCTGTATAATACAAATTAGGGATGCACCGATACCAGTTTTTCGGTATCGAGTACGGGTACTTTGCTTTCGGTCGATATGGAGTACCGATACCGGTGCTTCCGCTGGCATGGAGCGGTCTTCCCGGGCTATCCGATTGCCCGAGAAGCTGGCTCTCATGTTGTCTGGCCGGCTTGATTGTGCTTGGCCGGGAAACTGGCTTTCCAGCCAATCAGCATGGAGCCAGCTTCCTGGCCAATCAGGAAGCCAGGCGGTGCGTATTGACCCACTTCCTAATTGGCCGGGAAGCCGGCTCACTGCTAATGGGAAGTTGGTTCCCAGGCCAATCAGCATGGAGCCGGCTTCCTGGCCAATCAGGAAGCCAGGAGGCAGGTCATTACTCCCCGCCCAGCTTCCTGTTCGCATGCGAAGCTGGCTCCATGTTCCCCTACGGCACTGCCAGTCAGAGGAAATATTTCTCTGACTGGAAGTTCTGGTATCGGGATAAGTATCGGAGCATTTGAGCGAGTACGAGTACTCGCCCAAATACTAGGTATCGGCACTGATACAGATACTAGTATCGGTCTCGGTGCATCCCTAATACAAATTCTAACCAACTTTCTTGCATGCGGGGTTTGTCTTGCCTCCTTTCACTTCAAGTCTTGCTGTTGAATGGTGAAGCCACCCATCACAGAGATGGACCAAGTGTAAGGCCCATGAGGCAGTTGGGGACAGATGGTCACCACAGAAGCTGGTTCCTACCCCAGAATACCCTGAAGTTCAGGGGTTCAACTATGATTCAGTGGTGGCGATATAGGAATTGGAGGTGTAGGTTCCTCTTTTCCCACACAGATTTGCTTTAACAAGTAATTTTTACTTTTTAAAAACATTCAGGCACACCAAGCAACTTTGCAAATATGCACTGTTACTGACCATAGTTAAAGGATAAGTGCACTCTAAAACAAAGCGCACTTATCCATTATGCCCCTTTACTCTTGCCTAACCTAAAGCACGCCTCCCCATCTACATATGCATACTCACTTGATCTGACAGCTGCGGCCTCCGGTGTACATTCAGTGCTGCAAGTCTCACTGTACTTGCTGCACCTGCGCATTACAGCCCCATAGAAGTCATTGGGGCTGTAATGCACAGGCATGGCCAGGATATAAACAAGCACTGGAAGCTGCAGCTGTCAGATCGAGGTAAGTATGCATCTGTACAGGGGGAGATGTGGCGTTAGGTTGGGTCAGAGAAAAGGGATAAAATGGGGCAAAAAGGATAAGTAGAATTCTTTTTTTAATTGCACTTATCCTTTTAAGGTCACAGGATCCAAACAGATTGACTTCCAGTTGGTGATCCCTATCATTCGACCATGATCGGGTGGCAAAGCAGTGAGAGAGGGAAAAAGAGATGGTGATATTTATGACACAGTAAAGTAAGGGAACATTGCTTTGCTAACCGATCACCGTCGAGTGGGAGTCAATTGGGAGGCAATGTGTTTGTATCCTGAGAAATTAAAGGAGAACTATGGGGTAAGTGTTTTTCCCCATAGTTCTCCTAAGGGTAATGGGAGGACACAAACTAGCGTCCTCCTGTGACCCAAAGCTCAGTATACCGCGAGCTACGGCTCGTGACAGTCACGGCTCTCGGCATGGATAGATCGAGAAGTGACCGAGCGACGGTATGTGTTCGCTCACTTCTCGATCTATTGAGCCGACGTGTGACAGTTTCATTGTCGCACGTCAACTCAAACAATGAGGATGAGTGGAAATCACTCACCTCATAGTTCTCCTTTAAACACACTGAGTGTGTTTGAGTAAGAATGCACTTAAAAACAAAAGTAACTTATCCTTTTTAGCCTTTTTACCCCTTTCCTCTAACCCAACCCCACCTCCTCTATCACAGATGCATACTTGCCTCGATCCGACAGCCACTTCCTCCAGTGCTTGTTTATATCCTGGCCATGCCTGTGCATTAAAGCACCATAGACTTCTATGGGGCTATCTTCCCCATGTCTGGCCATTGGACATAATGGTGATCTCTATCATGCGACCATGATCGGGTGGCCAAGCAGTGTTGCCATAATACTACTTAAATATCCACATCTCTATCTCTTTGAATGTCAGGAAACAGAAACAGAACAGTTGAATGTCCTGAAACATTTAAAGATTTGTTTTTGCTAAAGTCTTCTGCACCACTGCCTTATGCAGCAGCAGCAGCAGCAGCAGCATTGTCAGCCTGACATAAGGCGTCCTTCAATTGGCCATTGGGCTACAGTCCTGATAGGCAGCCCAGTGGTCAACTGGAAGGAGCACACATGGCAGGCTGACAATACAGCTGCTAACTGCGAGGCAGTGGCTCAACACTGTCAATCTAAAATCAGAAGTGCTGTTCTAGGCAAGATCTGAAGGGAATACTTTGCAACAGATTCCCCCCAAAAATAATTGAAAACTGTTTATAGTGAAACCTACTGAATGAAAGATTTTCAGGTTCACATACACTTTAAAAATGTTGGCACTAACATACCGTCGTCCTGACGATCCGAGGTTGTGGTACTTTACCCCCCTAACAGTGGAAGTGGCTAACATGTGAAAATGTTTTGATCATTAACCTGTTTCCTTCCTTATATTTTACTTTTAATGTCCATTTGGTATATGATTCAATATTTTGTACATTTTATACTGTTAGAATGAAAATAAAAAAAAGTTTATTCAAAAAAAAAATGTTGGCACTAAAGGGTGACCCTTTTACCCATCTCCCATGCCATGTTGAGAGATTTTCTAGTAGCGGTCCCGCTCGCTCCTTGTGTGTGCACCTTGGCATTGATCCTGTACAGATCCTTATCTGCTGTAATGCTTCCACTAACCTTTTGCATCATGGAGTCTCTGTTGTGTTTGCAGAAAGCCCAGCAGCAGCTGAAGTTGCCCATTGTGCCTTCCATACAAAGGTTGTTGATTTATCGCTGGGCTCACCAAGCCATGGCTACCCCGGCAGACCACCCCCTCTTACCATTTTTTTGGCAAAAGTTTTTCCTCCTATATCTGAGCCGGCCAGGACCGCAGTATGGGTAAGATGGTGCCACAGATTTATTTTTTTATTGTTGCATGCACTGTTTTTGATCTGGTGAAAACCCAAAAACTAAAAAAAGCGATACATGGACTGTTATCCTGCCCCCTGCAGGGAAGGACCCTTGCTCTGTGTGTAAAAGCAGTGGCGTCTCTGCAGAGATCCAACATGCCCCCTGCTAGGCAAAGCTAGAGTTCTCCAGTCAGCAGGAAGAATGAGCTTTGCTGATTGGAGAGCTATAGATTTGAGTTAGCACGGGGGCCTCCCTCAACTCCCTATTTCAGGGGTGGGCAACCTTGGCACTCCACCTTTGCTAAAATTCCAATCCCATCATGCTTCCTGGTGTCGTGCCTGTGGCTGTCAGAGTCTTGCAATGTCTTGTGAGATTTGTAGTTGCACCACAGCTGGAGTGCCAAGGTTGCCTACATATGTCCTATGGGTTCTTCAGCTGGTTGGGCAGCCTCTGGGGCCAATAAGAAGTTGTAGGAAAGGCAGTTTCTGGGGTCACATGACACCCATTAGATTAAGGAATAGTACACACAGGTACCCAAGGCTGTTTGCACTTCATTCACGATGTGATCTGCTGAGATAGGGGAAGGTTTCTTCAAATATAAATCCTGGATGTGTGTCGTAGCGTTAATGTGAACCTGGTCTTGTAGCAAATGTTTGTTCTGTGCTCAGGTTACCGGTTGAAGGATGCATCGGTAGGAGGTTCTTCAGCAGCCCGGCCCACCATCACCTCCTCAAACAGATGAAGCGGCGCCTGATAGAAGTGGCTGATTTCCAACACTTGGCCAGCAAAGCCATCCGAGCCCTCGGCCCCATGGACGGGTCTCCGGTCTTCTCAGACTCTGGGGGAAGCTCACCGGAGTGTATGACGTCTCCAAATCTGCATAAGGAGCTGGTCAGGTAAGGAATCCAACAACTGTAAATTCTTATTGCTGGTATTCCAGATTTAAAGGGCCAGCCCCCCAAGTAAATTATATTTAAAGCTGAAACTTTTCAGTTTTCCATAATACTTCCCTTCCCCATCTTCAGTACAGATTTGTAGAAATGGTCCTTTAGATCAGTGGTTCTCAACCTGCGCAACCTCAGGACCCACATCTGTCCTTGGTCATTAGGTCGTGACCCAAGTCGCACTGCAAGGGAATGCACAGCATTAGGGTACCATGCGTTCCGGAGCGAATGTATGAACTGTGGGTGGGAGGTGCGTTTGGGGTACCATTCAAATGAATGTCAACGCAACACACCTCCCACATCAGAATGCACGATTGTATGGTACAGTGCGTTAATCGCATGGGGCTGTGCAATTAAGCACTGTACTGGTGTGCACACTGACATACATACACAACCAGAGACACAATCTCACACACTCACAGACATTCTAACACACGCACTCCAAAAAATTTTTTTCCTTTTTTTAAGATCCACCCAGTCTCCCTACCTTACAAGAACGAGTGGATCCTTCTTAGCCTGGGGTCCAGTGTGGGCTGCTGTGCTGTGATGGAGCTCCATACATGTATTCCTTGTACACCCTGTAGAGGTGCTGGGAGCCAGAATGGGAGTCCAGTCACCTCTACAGGACATGTGAGGAAGCTGTAAGCAATGCACGTAGGGATGGAGCTCCCTCGCCGCCATACCCCCAGCCCACCTCAAGCTGACACTCAGCACCCGGCAGCATATTTTGAATGGCTGCTTGGCGCGCGAGAACTGACAGTGCTGTGGTAGGGGGGGGGGGCAAAGGAGCCTCTCAACTAGAAAAGTGGAAGGCATGTGGCAACCCACTAAACATGAGGTCGCGACCCACTTTTGGGTCACGACCCACCAGTTGAGAACCAAGGCTTTAGAAGGTCTGTGATGTCTTCAGTTGATCTTGCAAAGTGCCATTATGCCCGGCCACTGGCAGGAGGGATCATTCAGACACTGATACCACATTCATTTGCCATTAGGCGTGCCTGAGCGAACTACCAGTACCAGGATGCATTTGGGAAAGTGTCAGTCCCAGTGGGTGGGATTTTGGGCATTGCTAAAGCGGTGGGTGTACCGAGAGGAGTCTCTTGAGTAGGATGGTGGATGATACTAGAAACTTAAAAGGGAATTTCAATCCAATTATCCATTTGTTCAAAATCATTATAATCTGAACCCTAAAGCTGGCTTTACACTAAACTAAACAGTGCAGGTGGGGGGTTCCCCCCTCGCCGGGCTCATGCATTTCTGTCTCTGTCCCTGTTTCAGATATTCCCTCACTTCAAACCCTAACAGGAGTCCTAATCCATCCCTAATCTCTCCAAAACAGGCTTGACATACACGTTGGGGTCTTTTTATAACCCATTTGCAGAGCCATTTGCCCTACCAATCTTTCTGAAGGTTTGTTCGGTGCAACTAGATGCAAAATGGGACTTTCTGATATATTATTTTCTTTTCAGGTTGAATGTGTGTAATGTAATACTGCATTATGGCCATAATGAATACATACTTTGCTGTGCTCCATCTAGTGGCCATATTGCAGTATTACATTACCCACATTCAACCGGAAAAGAAAATATATCTAAGAATGTCCCTTTTTGCATCTTTTCACACAGAACAAAGGTTTAGAAAGAGTCATAAGGTGAATGGCACTGTGCATTGGATATAAATAGACCCCTTTAGGAGGGAAAATGTCAATCATTCAAATGTAGGCTTGCACCGTTGTAGTGGTTTAAGCTTGATTATTCAGATTCTTGTGAGTCCAGTTGTAACTGGTTCTCTTTTAAAAGGCATGGTATATAATGAAGGGACTGTGGTGGTGCTTCAGTTCTTGTCTGGCCCAAGTGTTCATTACTGTGGCAGTGCAGGCAGTAGGAGCTGGCCCGTATTGTGGTTGACACAACGGCAGTGTGTCCAGATATTGGTTAGTTAGGGTTTTTCTTTGCTTTTCATCGGCCAATGTTTGCTAAATCAGGATGATCATGTTGTCAATGAAAGCCCAGACCATCTATTCTTCTCCTACAGGCTATTTAATGTGTTTATTGTGTGGCTGGAAGATGAGAAGTTTCAGAAAGGAGATGTCTACATCCCGTCACTGACCAAGCAGTACGACCCGCACCGGCTGGCCAAGATCATGCGTGGTGAGCAGGTGAGCAGTACAACAAGTGAAAGGACATGGAGGACGGGCGGCCAGCTTGTGACGGAATTCATATATGATTAGAGTCTGGAAAGCTTGGTGATGCTGACTTTTTCTTAGCTCTGGTTTTAATGAGACATTATAATGGTTTTAGCTTCATTTTGCCATGCATACTCGCACGTTATAGCAATACCGCACGCAGCACACAGTGGTTTGGTTCCGCTTTAGGTCTTCAAGCTTGTAAGCAGGTGTTTTTATATATTTGCAAACCCAGATAGTTTGCTCACACGTAAATCTGGCCATACACCATTAGTAATTCAGCCATGTCTACTCAAGGCTTACTGCGAGGTGTAATCCATCACTATGGCCAGGGTCAGGGGCTCCGCTAAGCTACATCAGGTCACATGTCCAGGTGGTGTCACTTTTTCAGGCCTTTCTACCTAGGCCATGGTGAGCAGAGCTGGCATGCAAGCATCTGATCTGCCCCACAGGCCTGTGGGGCAGATCAGATACTTAACTGACATCTCCACTCGGCTGTGCATGGCCTAGGTGGGCGAGGAGAGGCTGAAAGGCTGACGCAACTTCACCAGAACATGTGATGTGCTGCTTAGCCCCGCAGCAGACTTGGGCCGTGCGCAGCACAGAGCGGTTTGGTTCTGGTTTAGGTCTTCAAACTTGTAAGCAAATGTTTTATATATTTGCAAACCCAGATAGTTTTTTCACTCTTAAATCTGGCCATACACCATTAGTAATTCAGCCATGTCTACTCAAGGCTTACTATGAGGTGTAATCCTCCTCCATCACTATGGTCAGGGTCAGGTGCTCGGATAAGCTACACCAGGTCACATGTCCTGGTGATGGCACTTTTTCAGGCCTTTCCCTAGGCCATGGAGAGCGGAGCTGTCAGGCAAGCATCCGATCTGCCCCACAGGCCTGTGGGGCGGATCAGATACTAACTGACATCTCCACTCGGCTGTGCATGGCCTAGGTGGGTTGGGAGGGCCTGAAAGGCTGACGCAACTTCACCAGAACATGTGATGTGCTGCTTAGCCCTGCGCCAGACTTGGGCCGTGCTGGCATAGCAGGACCAAGCCCCATAGTAAGCTGTGAGTAGAGATGGAGAGATGGCTTACTTAGTTGAGGAAGGTTAGCATGTGGACTTTGGTAGCAACGTTGCAGAGGTTCAGTGAGCCCACAGTTTGTTGCCACCAGAGAATAAGGAAGTATTGTGGAGTGATTGGCAGGGGCGATTGGGAGGATTAACAGGTAATTCCTCGAAGGGGAAATTTTTCATAAACAAACATGGGCGCAGAGACATTATAAAAATGATTGGCAAGGTTGTATATTTGTTCTTTGTGGGGTGGCCTTACTAACATTTAAGCATTTATGATATGGTGCACCCATGACGCTGGTTTTGTAGAGCATTCTCAACTTTTAAATGAAAGAGCACAGTAAGTGCTGTGAAAAAAATTGTGGAATAATCTTTCCCAGGCCAACTCCATAGATTGATTACAAAGTGTTTATTAAAGTCATATTGCTGTACATTGTTGCTCCAGGGATCTGTTTGCCTTTGGGGATGAGGAAGTCCTTTTTTTTTTCCTGTTAGAGCACATTCGGAGCTCGCTTGGTGAGGGTTTTTGCTTTCCTCAGGATCACTTGCAGGTTAAGGGTTTTAAGGGGACATGTTTTTAATTTTATTTTGTCTTTTCATTATCTGATTAAATATGTAAGCTGGACAGTGGAAGGAGCAGAATCTTTCGGTGGTACATGGTCTCACGGTGTGTGGTCTCACGGTGTGTGGTCTCACGGTGTGTGGTCTCTCTTTAGAATCTCTGGATGGAGTTTATCAACATGGAACGGATCATATTTGAAATTCAGGAAACTGTCAACGCTTGGAACCAAATCAAGGTGGAAATGGACACCAGTTTGCTGACTCCGGCTGTTACTGTGGATGCTCCGCCATCAGCCACAGGTACCGTATGAACTGCTGGCTACTGTCCTCAGGTCCGTGGCTCAGTGGCACATAGCTTGTGGTGTCCAAATGACTGTCGGGTCACCTAGTTATTATATCTGGGCTCCGGCCTTCCCTTCAGTCTTGCACAGTTGTACCAGCTCCTCTCCTGGACTGAAATGGGCTCCTCTGATATCACTGCCCACTGGGAGCTTCTCACAATGTGCATTACAAGCTGCAGCAAGTTAAATAGAGCCCGCCTCATTTCCTGTCTGGAGCACCTCCTCTCCAGCCTGACCGTTCTTTGCCCGCCCCTTTCATTAATTGCATTTCAGTTCTTTCAATCATGGAGGCTCAGCATCACATGTGGGCATTACCTAGGATGGTCTTTATGCAAATGCAGCCTGCCTAGGCAAGCTTACTCCTCCAGACTAAGATCCACCCATCAAGGCATTTTTAAATTTGCATAACTCCTCCCAAGAGCCAGCCCACTGCTTGCATCAGTGGCGAGAACTCTTGAGACGAGTACTGAGGCATGGTGCTGTGATGTTTTCAGGAAGCTATGTACAGCACCCTGCCAGCCCCTCTAACCAGCATGCTCCATTTTGTCTCTCTAGCCAAGGACAGAATCCTGATTAGCCTGAAGAAGCACAGCGCCCCGGTCCCTGGTACCACCTTGCAGCTGATGAAGCCACCTGTACCGGTCATTCCGCCATCATGTTTTCTTAACACCCAGGATGCCATGAAACTTGTGCACAAAGACCTGACGGTTCTGCAGCAGCATGCAAAGTAAGTCGCAGACCAATGACTAAGCCTAGCAGAGCAGGACGATTCTTGTTCTAATTACAGAGGAATGAACTCCCAGCATGCTTTGCCAGATGCCGAATGTGGGGAACACTTTGACATGTAGTTGTGCAGCAGTTGCTTTGTTGTATAATGTCAGTGCCAGATATGGAGTCTACAGAATGTTTGTTCCTAAACATTAGATGATAATTACCCTGATGTAAGACTGCCATATAGTGGACAACCCAAGATGACTCTTTTTATAGAAGGTCAGTCAGGAAAGATTATGGAAGGTTCCGATACTGAGCATTTGCATGAGTACTCCTACTCTTCCTTCTGGAGGGGGGTTACTTCTATTCCCCATGGTCCCTGTGTGTGTTGTGAAGTAGTCACCGGTCCACGCTCACTCCCGGGATGGACTACAATCTCAATACAAATTAGTACACTAAACATGAGATTGTAGTCCATCACGGGAGCGAGCTTGGAGCGGTGACTACTTTACAACACACACAGGGACCATGGGGAACAAAAGTAGCCCCCCCCTCCAGAAGGAAGGACAGTGTCAGTGCCCATTCAGAGATGATTGGAGGATCTACAGCCGCGTGATACAACCAAATATGTTATTGATCCATGGAGTGCTGCTGACATACCTTCTCATCCATGCTGATACAAATACTGTTTGGACTATATGTTTTTGAGCCCTTCTTTGGGAACACAGCAGCACAGCAACGCACCACGGGTGCATTGAGGGGCCGTTCAGAATGAATGGTAGCATATTGCACAGTAAAACAAATGATTATCTGCGCTATAGTGCTCTACCCCAAAATCCTCAATAACACCCTATTGACAGCTGCAGAGATAAAAGAGAAGCTATATAAACTTCTCCCACATTATATTAAACAAAAGACACTGCGCTATCTTTAATATTATAAAACTCTAAGTGCATATACTTAGTGACAATTATACAACATGTTCACTCCAACTTATATATAGTCCATATAAAAATATTACCAAAATTGATATGATCAAAAATAAATGTGATGAAACCCTTGTGTTCACTTTCTTTACATCATTGAGTCAAATAATCATTGCGTATAAAGTTCCACAATCACTCGTGACTTCTGTGCTTCAATTCCTCGTCAATTAATCACCAGTGATCCACCACCAGGTGCACAAACACCAGCACACTCACCAGATAGTTCTGACCACCCAAGTGGTCTTTAAACGCTCTGCAAAATTCCCTGGTGTCCGATGTCTCCCTCTCCACCGAATCACCAACAGCTGGAAATGATGAGTCCGCCCGATGTCTCTCCCAAATCTCTTATCTGCTCAAAATAGAAAACCAAGATGGCACATAGTGTAAAACTGCTAGATGATAGTTTATTTATAAAAATCAGAACACTTACATTTAAAAGAGTTTTTCAGCGCTGTAAAAACATAAAATGGGCTTGTATGAGCTCAGCTCTGTCTCCTCCACTCCATACACTAGCGTCAGCATGTAGCTCCTCCCCTACGCGTTTCGTCCAATGGACTTTCTCGAGCTTGAGGAAGTCCATTGCTCATACAAGCCGATTTTATGTTTTTACAGCGCTGTACTCTTGTGTTCCTGTTGGTCCCATTGCTAGTTATACAAGTTTCAAGAGTCTGTACATCGCAGGCCTGAGCATCGATGTGAAGGATCTGTGTTATAACAGGGACTTTGCAGTGCCGATTGCCTTAACAGTCATTCTATGTTTGCCAGAACTGCCTCTATGCGAGAGTCCCAACAAGTGGCCTTAGACAGCGAGATGCTCGACACCATCCCCAAACTCTACATCAACAGAGAGGAACAAATCGAGATGAAGATAGAGTGTCGCAGCAACCTCAACAAGACCTGCAATGGGCCGGCAGTTGTAATGGTCAAGGTGAGGGGGTCCTACTTAACCATTATCTGATTGAATGAGGGGGTTCTCGTGAACTATCATTTGCTATAACGCTTATCATTTCAGCTGGTCATCTGGATTTGTTTGGCCAACTTATTGGGTCAAAGAGAACATCCCAGTCCCAGGTGCTACGAAGGGCCTTAATGGATCTCATAGTCATGAGTCCCTTTTGGGGAGAAACACATCAAGGGATGAGTAGAGGGCCTGTATCAGAGTTTACATCATCTCAGCTGGTCAACTGAATTAAGCTGGCCAACTTATTGGGTTAAAGAGGATATCCAAGTCCAAGGTGTTACAAAGGGCCTTAATGGATGTCCTAGTCATGAGTCACTTTTGGGGAGAAACAAGTCAAGGGATTAGGAGAGGGCCTGTATCAGAGTTTACATACACTTAAATATTTCCTTTATGCTATATATGCTATAGGTACCCCCCTGGTTTTGGGCCCCCACTCCCATACCTCGTTTGACAAAGGTTATTTGACTTTTGTTGAAGCAGCTGTCCCGGAGATCCTTGGCTGAGCAGTGCCTGTTCGGGTATTGTGACAGCGGCACACCCGGCAGAATAGATTCCCCCATTCATGCCAAACATCCACGAGGGGCTCAATGAGAAAATAACTTCTAATGAATGGCCAGTCATGCTTTTTACGCTTTGCTGATC